TACTAACTAACTAACTACACACACACACACACACACACACACACACAAACACACACACACACACAAAACAAAAAAATGACAAAAAAAATAATATCATCTTCACCAGAAAAAGTTTTTATTTGCGGTGAAATGACATTTACTGCGGACGAAGCTGTTAATGAGTCAGTGTCGAGAATATGAGATCAAAGTAAAAACATAATAATATCGCATAACACGACGTTATGTTTCATCGCTAAATGAAGGTTGGAAGATAAAAATATATGGCAATCATAATTACGTATGTAACTACGCACATCTTGAATGCGCGGATGATGTTGCATTGTAGTGTGAGCGTTGCAGAAAATCTAATTTTTATATATATCTCATTATTTTCTAGCCATTTGAATAAAAATCATTCTAGTATCTTTTTATGTAAAACAAAATATCGACGATTGTGATAATCTGTATAATTACGATGAAATTGAGAATTAACTCTATTCTGCGTATAAATCCTCGCACAGTCTATTGGATGTAATATTAAACATTTTACTGGCATAAAATTAATTAATGTAAAAACAGAAAATTCTAATTGAATTGATTAAATTGAGCGATGTAGTAGTAGATAAATGTATGACTTTTAATTTTTCACATTGCTCTCAGTTTTGAAACAAGAGAACATTACGTAAATGCATGCATTGTTGGAATATTAGCAAAATGTACATCAGGTAATCTCGCATGATGGTAAATCTGCTATAAATTTAGATAAATGTTGTTTTCCACTCACCATAATTTCAATGTCGTCGCGACTAATGCGGGGTTACACCTTATCGATATTGCGATTATATGCTCATAGGTATATATAAGTCACGTCATATGTGTTGGTTAAAAACACGTTATGACAATATCATGGCAAACAATAACTATTTATTATATGAAATTTCTAATCTACATCGATGATTTAATATAAATATTCAGAAATATCTGAATACTATAACTAATACTATAACTTTAACTGCAATATGATTAGTTTTTCCAATAATTCGAATAAAAGTATCAAGCTAAATATATTGCTATTTTTCTTCAATATATCACATTACTGTCAAATCTAAAAAAAAAATCTTCCTAAAAAGATTTGCAAATATTAAAGTGCACGAAGATTATTTGAATCTTATTTTTGAACGAATAAAGTGATCAGATTTGCACTCTCAAAATTGAGGCTCACAAAATAGACCTATTAGATTTAGATAGAAAGGAAATATATGCAAATATAACTTCAAGAAGCATGACAGTGGAATATTTCATATTGTTCATGTGTCAGCATACAGCATCACGTACGTGCTAAACCGTTGTACGTGGTGGAAACTAAGTAAGTATTAGGAGTTGGAAATTTCAAACAGATTACAACGAGTTAACCTAGGAGGAAGTTTGCATATATGAGGGCAGCACCCACTCAGATTCGTCGAGCAACATCCCCGTAAGTGAGATTGTTGTTTAGCAATAAACGTGATTGAACGAGATAGCAAATAATTAGCTTTTCTCTATTTGTACACAATTACAGAGTCTCACAAGCATGACATAACATCAAGCATATTTTCATGTTATACATTATATCTCTTTTCTGCAGACTAAATTAATGAAGAATTGGCATACATTCGCTAAAATATATTTATTTTAAGGCAATAGATCTACGACATGTTATATTTATCTGTAATTTTCTTATGCTTTTAAACTAAATTATTTACTATGTTATTATAAATTTAAATATATATATATAATAATTTTTTTATCAATCTATTATTTCAAATAAAAACAAAAAATAATTTTCCGCTTATCAATTACACGATGCGCAGCAGCGAAATTGCAGCAGAACAATGACCTGTAAAACATAAAATATTCAAATTACAGTATCGCATAAAATATATTTAATATTTCAAAAAATAATTATCGTACATATCAAATTATTTATTTATTCTTGGAAAGTCGATATTAAATAAAAAATTATTAATTGGAAGATTTCCATAAAAAAAATTTTCTCTTTTTTAAATATAGACTATTATACTATTATACTATTATAAAACATCATAAAAATAAAAGTTCCACTTCTATTTTTATTTTATTGCGATCATTGAAATAAATAAACTAATTTAAGCGAAACAAACAATCTATTTCACAAGAAATAAATAACATATAAATAAGGTATTCACGGTTGCTATCGCTCGATACTTTCTATCTCTGTTGTACACACATAATACAATATAACACATATATAATACAATGTTGATAAAAACACAGTTAGTTAAAATTACGTGCAAGCCAATCATTAGAGATTATGACGAACGCGGACATTTTTACGTAGTATTTCCGATATTAATCATACACACTTTCACATTGTGTTTGTTTATTCGTATATTACATCTCAATTTCAATCTGTAAATTTTAAGCAAATTACCTGATTCAATGTAAATGCAAAGCAAAATACGACATACACTCAAAAAAATACATACAATAAAACGACATATAATAAAAAAAAGTACAAGGCAAAGTGTATTGGAATTAGTTAAAAATTCAAAATAGAACAGGAAATATATTTAATTACAAAGAGTAGATTCTTTACTAGAAAACTATTTATCATTCATAAACAATTGCAAACAATAATTTATAACCCCTGTTTAATGCTTCAATCTTTGAATAGAATGCTTGAAACGTATCAGTCGATATCTTTATACAAATTGTTAATTGTAGGAGTTATCAATAGGTAATCATTGTTAGTTAAGAACCGCAAAAATTAAGAATCGAACTTTGTTGTTACTTGTTTAAAGAGAATCACATTTTCTCTCAGTGTGTAATTCGAGAGAAAATAATCTGACGTGCGGAACGGTTTGCGATTTACTGGCTTGCTCAAGCGTGTTGCATGAATGATAGCGTGGTAACCTTCTGCATACAATGTATGTTGCATTAGCAGATATCAAGGTTGTGTCCCAATCGACTTGCCGATAAGACGAAATTAACGCGTTAAATGAAATATTAAATACTATTTTTTAAATATTTTTATTTAATTTTGATCGAGTTGCTGATTTTGCGTTTTAAGTTTTGGATTTCAATGTAATGATTAATTTCACTTGATTAAGATTACTTTATAAATTTATTGAAGATTTATTTATTTAAATTTTAAATCGATAAATATAATAGGTTATAGTTATATTTATGGCGATTGGGTCGTCAGGACCCTAACCGTAGATTTCGTATTGGATGATCGAATTCGTAAAAACAAAGCAACACATACACACAATACATGCGTATCAGCTGATCGCTTGTCAGCACTGATCAAAGTAATGGAAAAAAATATACACATAACGATTCGAGCAACGTGTAGAAGAAAATAAGCTAACAAATCTCGATTTTTAATTTGCATTTCTTGAATTACTATCTCATGACGAGTAACAAAGTTAGAGAGAAAGAAAGAGAGAGAGAGAGAAGTACAACCAATCTCGAGCAGAGAATAAGATTTAATCGGCGAATATCAAAGCGAGGCGTATTAATTTCGAATAAACGTAAATAAATATGTAATGTATAACGCGTATGTTTTGGGAGAACTTTATTTTGTTGCCTTTGTCACTGTTTCCAGTAATTCTTTTAAATCAACGTAAATACAAAATTAATATAACTGTAATCTCAATTGTACTCAAATAATTATTGTACTCAAATAATTATTATCCTTGTACTGGTCGTACATTTTAACGGCGGGCTATTATTTGAAGCAATTTTAAGATTGTTTAAATTAATTATAATTGTAATGGAATGCTCTTTCGAGTTTATGGAAATAGTTTCCGTCGAATACTCAGTCTCAAAATTCTCCTTTTTTTTCACAATCAATAGATTGCTCTATGAACGTATTTTTATTTTATATTGAAATATATATTGTGCGAATATAAAAAATAGGAAAAGTTAGACTATTCCCTATTGTACTATAAAATTGTATAGCATATAAAAATAAAAGAAAGTTTAATTGTTGGAAACATTGATATTGATTGTTAAAAGCTTTAAAACAAACCTAACAAAACCTAAGTTGAACTTAGTTGAACAGTTTAATCTATAGAGCGACTGTTCGAATTTGAAATATAGAATATTTGCAAGGTATGTAAATATTCCCGTTAATACTTACTTTGCAATGTGTTATATCCTCTCAATTTTATAACTCTAAAAATTATATTTATCTATTCCCGTTTATCAAGATAACACAGCAATAACTGATCGCACTTGAAAATGCACATTATGAATGATTTCTAAGAATATCGACATCTATCATATCTTGATAGATATCACAATGCCGTTTGTCTTATCATCGTAAATTCGCCAGCTTATTCTCGAATAACAATGTCAGTAACCAAGTTGCCCACGATCGCAGCCATGCTGATTATATTCTGTCTGGCGTTGATAGTTTCCGCCTCGTGCTTAGAGCCTAGAATAATCGGAGGCGTACCTACAACTATCACTAAGCATCCGTATCAGGTCAGTTTACGATTGAAATATTTCTTCGTGATTGAACTCGTGTAATTGAATATTCAAGTAATTGTGCAAAATTATTACGACCGAGTACCAATGTCCGTTGTCATTTCCTTAAAAAGTCTTTTCCGGCAGGTTTCTATTCATTATAATGGTAAACTCGCATGTGGAGGCTCCATAATTGGCAAGCAATGGATTTTGACGGCGGCACATTGTGTCTACGGGTATGCGTGAGATCTTGATATATAAATTTGCTATCTCTTAGATCTCAGATAGATAGAATAGTTTATATAAATCTATAAAAATCGTTAGAGCGATTAAATGCGTTATTCTTATTTTAGCGGAACACGGTCGCTCTTCAGAGTGCGTGTTGCAAGTAGTTATCATGACGAAGGAGGCATTCTGATTACGGATATTGCTTCGATTATTGTTCATAACAAGTATACGTCGAGTACTTACGATTACGATGTGGCTTTAATTAAAGTATGTAGTCATGGCTTATTTCGAATATTTTCTTTGCGTGTTGAAAACATGCAAATTTAAAAAAAAATATTATATATTTAAAAAAATTAATTAAAAATTTTTAGTTATCCACACCTTTAACGCTGGGATCAAATGTAAAACTTATTGTACTTGCATTATCGTCATCGAATATTAAACCTGGTAGAACGGCAATTGTTGCAGGCTGGGGAAAGACATCGGTACGTCCTTTTTAGTCGTTCGTAAACCGTCTTGATTCTCCTGTCCGTGTATCAGTGTCAAGATTTATCGCCGTTGAGAGATGCTTTAGTTCGACGAGATTGTTTAGCTGCGTGTAAACATTAAGATTTGTTTGCCGAGCGCTTGACGTAGTTCCGGTTGATTGTCGCAACAAATGCTGCGGGATCTCGGGATAAATCGAAGGATATTCGTAAATGTTTCATTAAGCAGACGAGCTTTGAATTTCAGGTGAATAGCGCGAGTTCGAAAATACTGCAAAGCTTGGTGATACCAATCGTTGATGAAGAGGTTTGTCGAAAGATCTATGCTCGTTATCGGACAGTGACGTCCAATATGCTCTGTGCTGGTTTCACCACCGGTGAAAAAGACACCTGCCAGGTACGTTCATCATTTTTTTTATCGTTAGTCTCTTAACAAGTATTCATAATCCTTTGATCAGGCATTCTTTTTGCATTTTTTATCATATATAAATATAAAAATATAACGAAATATATTAAAATCTTTTCGCATTTCTTCAAAAGATCGGTTGCAAGCAAAATTGATCTGTATTACAAAATTAGGTTTTGTATCAGAATACAAAAATGTACATAATTTCTTTTATAATAACTCTGTTTGTAAGGATGTAATATATTGAAATATATATTGAAATATATATTGAAATATATATTGAAAAGAATACAACCAGTATCTCCAGAACGTTTTTATTAACGCATTAAAATAATTCTGTTTCATTTTTTATCCATACTAGTTTTCGGAAATTGATTTTTGCTATACGAAAGTGAAAAAGGTTTATTTGTTCATGACGCAGGGAGATTCCGGCGGCGCGCTCGTGTACAACGGTGTCCAAATTGGGATCGTGTCCTGGGGCGCTCAGTGCGCGAGTGTTGGATTTCCAGGAGTGTACACGCGAATATCCGCCATACGGCAGTGGATAACCGAGCAGGCGAACGTGTAGCAGAATTAATTTTTCCCCTCTTGCCTGAACATTTTCCGAGATAGGGGAGAGGTAGCGGAACGTTGAAAAAATATTTGTTTCGGTTTAATCGAAGCATCAACTAGACTATTATGAAAAAAAGTACAATCTTGTACAATTTTGTACAATGCGAAATACAAGATTTTGTACAGATGTGAAATACAAGATTTGCGAATTGTACATTGTACATTGTATTTGCGACTTGTACAATAAAGAAAAACTAAATATAAAACGATGGTTTTTTGCAATAATAATAATAATGTAATTTTAAAATAAAAATAAAACAATTTTAATAGATTTTTAATTGTTATTTTTCTCCTTTCATTAATAAAATATAAATGTTATTTTTACATGTTTATTTGTGATTGAAATTTAAATTTATATACTGCTTTCATTACCTATTCTAAAATCCATTACTAAAAATCTAACTGCCCAATAATAAGCTTTCACTTTTTTTATGTTTATTATTACATTATTACATTAATTATTTAATTATTAATTATTAATATTTTCAAAAATCGGAATATATATTTGTAAACTGTCAAATTGTCATTTTATTTATACATAAAGTAGTAAAGCTTTTTACTCAAGTACGTACAAAAAAGAAATTAAAAAGTAAGCGCCAATTAAAAATAAGAATATTTCAGTTTTAATTGTATGTGCTAGTTAAAAATAAAAGTAAAATACATTACTCAAATATTTCTATAGTTTTATGTAAAATAGATATTTTCTAATCAACCTTTTCTAATTTTGATTAAAAATATAACATAGATCGATTTCGTTTATATTACTTCTTATTGGGACAATTTATATAAAAACACATTTAAATAAATAAATATATAAAACGTTTGTAAAAATAAAAACTTAAATAAATACGTGAAGGCATATAAAAATAAAAACGTATTCTAATAATAACAAATGAAAAAAATTGATTAACCGAAATTTTCTTTTCTTTTTTCTGTTTTAATTAAATGACTGATTATTATTCGGAACTATCAAAATGTATCGTATTGAGCTTAATTTTTCATGTAATTTAGAAAAGCTAAATTATAAAACATTGAAACTTTATGATCTAAACGTTAACTTATTTCTAAAAATTATTTCTAAAGTGATTAACTACAAGCAAATTTTAATTTTATGGATTTTAAGCATATTTTAATTTTAATTTTATATACATACATACATATTTATAATAATAGTTACAGATTTTTTATTACATATTGAAATACATATAATATATAATATAATATAAAAAAAAAATATATATATATATATATAAAAGATTCACTGCTAGATTATATTTTATGATATTATATATTTCATTAGATATTATAAAAACACTTCTTACGAAAATTTTAATTCTTATTAGACTAGTATTTTATTAAACCCGACTTTGCTATAAAATAATTCTACTGCAACAGCAGTACGATGTATTCGTTAGGAGTAGATTTTATTCCAAATTAGCAACCGATTAAATTTGCTCTGGTAATATATTCTGGTGTTTCTGTGAAAGTAAATTTACTCAACACGATTTTTCAACAAGACTAGTTGGTTGTAACATCAAATAAGCGGTTATTGCAGCAAAGTTTGATTGCTTTCACGATTTGAATATGCAACAGCAACTATGATGTGGCTGACGCAACAAAGTTCTTTTTGTAACGCGTATCGATAACGGATATCAAACTTAAGGTATCTCAACGGATTTTAGGGGAAAGCAAATAAACACCAGATACTCAAACATCGACTTTGTCCGAGTTTTGTTCAAAGTTTCCGGCACCATTAAATATCAGTATCGATCTCAATCGGTCGCGAGCGCAACTCGGAAGCTCCGAGCGGACTTGACGTAACCGTTTATAATTGTGCAAATCTAATCGCCAGGTATTTTCGAGGATTGTGTCTCCGCGCGAGAGCGAGTGTAATCAGTTCTAAGGTGGCGACGTGTAATTTTGTGCAATGCAATAAATATTATCTTGCTGCCCTTTACACTCGCCTCGACGTAATCGTTCGTCACGCGGGATTATTAATTTCAGCGTCGACTCGAAACGGTGCTCCGGGTCTCGCCGCCGTCACCGCGGTGGCATTGAATAAACGGTTTTGCAGCCCCAGCACAGGTGGCTGACTCGTAAAGGGTAGCGCAAACAGTCGATGTGCCCACGTTCGCGTTACCCTACGTACGGGGCGGAGCATTGTCGTAAAGAGCATTGCTATTGTACGTGACGCCGGATGATCGTCGTCTACGTCGCGTAAAGAACGTCATGCCGAAATCGCGTCAAGGTGCAACGTGTTCACGCTAACCGGTTCCGATTGTTAAGAATCGCGACAAACGTGGCATACCAAATGCGACGTGATATTATGACCGGAATATGACGCGATCGATATTTCCGCGGATATCAGTCTTCGTTGTCTGGCAGTCGGCGGGACGCATCCCGCTCTGCCTATGTTGTTTCGAACATATGAATATATCCGGAATTTCTGATAACGATGAATTATACGTGCCACGAAGCATCGCTAACCCTGGGAGCGTCGAGCTCCCGAGTCCGGGAAGTTTCCTGGTGAATAAACTTGCGCGCATCACGACGGTTTCTTCGTTGCGGCAAAGTGTGCATTTATCTCGCCTCCCGATTTCTCGGTCGAAAAGAGCTGGCTTTCCGGAAAGAACACGGCACTTCGACTCAAGCGTTTCTCGTAATGATTACGTTTAATTACCTTTCTCGCGAAGCCGTTTAATTATCTTCCAATCGGCTCGTTCCGGATCATCTCATGGACGTACAATAAAGCCCTGGTAAGCTGTAGTTTCAACGTTCATCTTCGGTATTTTGTCGTTGTAGTAGAACGGTTTGAACAGCGATGGCGGTGACAAACAAGCGGAATCGAGGTCGAATTCTTGGAAGCTGACTGATCGGAAATTTCACTTAGAAAAATTGATAGTGACGTATATTAATTAACGAATATTGAAATAAAGAAACACACATTCAGGTAAAAAAAGTCAGAGATGAAATTTTTATGTTACTACAGGTCACGTATTTATTTATATTTTTTTTCTCGTTCTGAGAACGGTCAGTCGGAACACATTTATTGCAAAAGTAATATGCAAATATTTAATAACGTTCTGGAATGTAATAAATGAAAAAAATTAAAGAGAAAAAGCAAACCGAATAAAAATTAATGCAAAATTAATGCTGTTGCACGAGACAATTAATAATTAACGATTAAATAGAATATTATAATGCTTATTAATCAACAAATAAAATTAATTAACTAACATTTTTTCAAAGAAAAGAATAAAGATCAACGTGAGGCATGTTATATGCCTGCATGATGTAAAATAAATAGATATTCATTTAAATATTTTTATATCACTTAAATATTTATTATTTATAAGATGCGATTATACATTTTCTCATTAAGAAATTATTGTATCGCCTTATTTTTTGAAAGAGCATTAATTAATTCATATCTGCTACATAACAATTACATTAATACGATTGCTTCATGCTTTAATAATATGTTTTAATAAAATGATAACGAAGCCGAATATTTTGGAAATATTTATAAACGTTCATGCAGAACGTTCTAACGATCCTTTCAGGTATATAAGATCGTTTTCATCTCTTGGCTCCATGGTAAAGCTAAATTCGCGAACGCTAGTTAGTAGTTTATATCGACAATCGTGTTGAAACATTAATCCGAATATTGACCCACTAGAGACTGCTCAAACAAAGGACAGCATCACCAGGGAGGAGGTGAGAACCATTGACCAGCATCCCAGTATCACGTAAGTATATCGAGTAGGCGATAGTTGATGAATTCAAATCCGAACAAAGGAATTTCAAGACTATATCGCACTGTAGTTGTGATTCAATATGACAGCAATAAAGAGAGATTTAATTAGAATGTAATAATTGTCGTAGATTCGGTTTTAATATAGGTACATAAAATTCCTTATGTTTCAATATCACGCTCGTGTAAATATCGTGCAATTATAAAAACACAATAAAAATAATTCTTATGAGTTGTAAATTTTTGTATCGATGCGGAACGATCGTTTTCATTGTAGCCGCTCATTGATAGATATAAACAATTTCGTTGTCGATTAGTAATCGTAAATCGATAAGTAAATATTCAAAAGTTAAACCAATTATACGTAAATTTGACCGTATCAAAAAATTGTGGTTAAAATTGGTATTAAAATAATTCATGTATTGCATGGAAAATTGCTGTCGAATTGAGATAATAATTTGTTAGTGTTGTATCCACATTTTTCTCTCATGACAAAATTTATAAATATTGTGCAATACTTGATGCAATCCGAAAACCGTGATCGTTTTTTCATTTCGATAATCCATTCGTTGAATTTTTCCAGATATCTATGCAATTTAATATATGCAATTTGTGCTGTCCTTTAATTGTACACAGTTGTACCAATATTATTATTAGCGAGAATTGGAATATCGCAACAACATTAGTTTAGTCAAAATATTTTTGACTTTACATTTAAAATCGATCGGCTTTGCTAAGTTGTTTAACAAGTTTTTGATAAATATTTTATGCAATATACTCACATTTTAGATGTTTTCATTAACAAAGATAACATGTCATTAAATGTGACAGTGAATCATTGTCCTGAAAACATTATTATAAATTTACATTATTATACAATTTTAAAAATTTTATGAAAAGTATAAGACCTGATATAAGTTATGTTGTAACTCTCATTTATAATATAACTTTATACTAGGCAATTTTGCTTTAAATTTATTAAAAATAAATAATTAATATATTGCAAAATGTATAAAAAATAGTTAAAAAAACAACAGTTTTAAATTTTAATACTTTAATATTTAATAATACAATTTTAATATTTTAATATTTGGAGATAATTAAAAGTGTCAGTGGTCAAATGATAAATGAATTCGTCAAATGCTTTAATATTAACAATCACAATGAAATCCGGTTTTTAGAGAAAAATCTCGTTTAGAGAATGTTCTCTTTTCATTACATTTTTTTTCCTTTTACTATAAAATCTTTTATTTATTATACTTTATTGCGTTAATTACACAGATAGTTTGACAATATAATAATTGTTATAGGAAAGGAATCGTTCAGATTTTCTGTTTATAAATATGAGCACAATTAATTACAATTACAAATACAAATACAAATAATATTTCTAATTCAGAATATTCCGATCTATTTATATAATACTTATCCCATAAAAATAATTTGTAAAGG